ATCTGGAGGATGAGCTCTCAAATATTTCAAATATTAATGCACTTTTGCAGCAGACAGGTACACTTTCTTATTTACATTGCTTTGCAAAGTTATCTTTAATCTCATTTGCTTTGTTTCTTAATCTGTGTTCTTTCACCAACTTCTTTCCATCTATCTCTTGGCTCTTTTATGTTCCCGCTCTCATTACTTATTAATAGGAAGCTGTCAGCATCCTGCTGTGTCTTTTCCTGCTTACACTGACATGCTGCACCTTTTTGAACATCAGCTGACTTCATTTTTTTGCACATTATGGTTAGTTACACAGTGCTAATGTGACTTCAGAAGTGAAAGTCATAAATCATTGATGAGAACAACATCAGCTGAACTGTGTTTTCCATCACAAACTAACAGCGCAGCATCACATCAAAAGTATCTTGGGTACATCAATAGTCTGTATGTCTTTTAGACATAAAGACAACTTTGAACTTAATTGATCATAGTTTGAGGTGCAAAAATCATCTGAGTTGGATGTCGCTAGTGTTATTTTTCTGTAATATAATTTGCTTCAAAATTTAAATTGAATCAGTTTTTCAGCTTCATTATTCTAAACTGCTAAATATGATGCAATGAAGGAGTAGGATAGAGAAACAAGCAACATTTGTAAATTAGGAAGTTTGTAGTTTTATATTGAAAGCATTGTATTAAAGTCCTGATGAAGTCACGAGATCACGTGACGCAACGCGTCGATAACCTCTGCATGTGACGCTCTTCCGGCGTGGCGCCATTTTTGAATCTACCAGTGCTTTTCTCTTCATGCAGTATACCTTGCACATTGGATTTTATCCTGATTACAGCTGTACACTTTGCTCATTGGATTCTACCTTGATATACTCAAGCTACATTTATGTGACTGCACTTCTGGTTCTTTTTTATATGCCATTAAACAGTATTACACATCTGTTCTATGGGCATATGATCTATGGTACCTATATGAGTGCTAAGCTGCCTGGTGACTGGTCCGGTGGAGTGATGATGACCTATTACCTGTGACATCGTCTGGTTATTAAAGGGGCACCTTGAGGATCCAGAGGAGAGGTTTATTTGCTTTGTGGCCCTGCAGGGTCATGATGTGGAGGTGAGAGGCCATTGCAGCCATACCTTTTGGGTTCACAAGGAGGGTGCTTGGATACCCACATTATGCATGAATAAGATCACCACAGCATTTATGGACTTCTTTTACACTATATATGTTTAATATGTGTTTCATATGGTGCTTGTTTCTGACCTCATAGCAGGGGCTCACATTTGTGTTTTCAGCTTGTCCCTTATAGGACGCTTGGGGGTCACGATTTATTATATCCTTATGTGGATTGGGGGCACGTGTGTTGTGTGATTTATCAGTTGATCTTATACCTATTTTATATAGTATATTGTTTTTTATATGAGGATTAGCGCTGCATCAATTTTATGTGTTTTATTGTATTAAAGTGTTACTAAAGCACGGACCCTGCATTCACTCTATCTGATCTCCCAATGTACACAGAACATGGAAATTCAATTATTATGGTAAATATAAACTGCTAAATACCTTTTCTCACCAGCAGTTAGAGCAGTCTTGTGACTTCTATCAGTGTCCAGCTGAGCACTGGTTAAAGCTTGTAGGAAGAGTTTTCTTTCGGCTCTAGGAGGATCCAGAACCCCTGACTTCTGCCTGGACAGTACTTAATGGGCCTGTGCTGATCACATGCATTCTCCAAAGAAAAAAAAACTCTCTAGCAATACACACCAAACTGAGCATGTGCAGAGATACTCCACATAATATGTCTTATCAGGAGATAAGAGGGGAGCACTGGAAGAAGGGGAGGATCAAAAAAGTCAGGTTTTTACACAATGCAGAGGAGTAACCCTTTAGGTTCCAGAGTGAGTATAACAAGCATGCTTTACTGCATATACTGACTGATTTTACTGTTGTGGGTTTAGTAACACTTTATAGCTCAACTCAAGGTTATTTTGTATTTAATCCCCCTCCCTGTTAAAAAAAAAAAAAAAAAAAAAAAAAAAAAAAAAAAAAAAAAAAAGTATCCAAGCAATAATTTTCATGCTTCAGCACTGTACTCTTCATCCTCCTCCTATCTCAGCTGCATCTTCTTGACTTGAAACCTGATAAACCCATGACAGCAAGAACAAATCTCCTGGGGTGCATCATCAAGCCAGCTTGGGCTCTCTATAGAAAGATGTAGAGATCTGGGTGCTGTTCTTTCTTATATATTTTTTTTAATAAAGATCCAACCACTGCCAATGCAGAAAAAGAGGATCCTAGGATGTCACATGACTCCAATGAAGATAGCACAGAAAAGGCCTGTATACAAAAAAAATGTAAAAGATATGTAAACATGTAAAAGGTAAATATATAATAAAAAACTAAAAAAAGAATACAGTGGGTGCTCCGGTGAGGGTGTGGTCTGCCCAATCTAAAGTTTGGCATTCATCTATAGTTCAGTATATTTATTTGGACACAAATGAATGCCAAGAAGCTACCATCACAGCAATGCCAGACTAAAGAGAAATATTGACACAAAAATCACATCACAACATTGCTTTGATCACAATCCAACATGTACACTCACTTTATTAGGTACACCTTGCTAGTACCGTGTTGTACACCCTTTTGCCTTCAGAACTGCCTTAATTCTTCGTGGCATAGATTCAACAAGGTGTTGGAAACATTCCAACTCGTGGGGCCCCCGGGCAATAGGGGATCATGGGGCCCCTGTGTCCTTGCCCAAACTCAAAAAAGCCTATGAAAAAGGTACCAGGGACATCTCATGGGGCCCCCTACTGACCCCAGGCCCTCGGGCAATGCCTGAGTTTCCAAATGGTCAGTCCGCCCCTGCCTGCATGATAACATCACGCAGTTGCTGCAGATTTGTCAGCTGCACATCCATGATGCAAATTTTCTGTTCCACCACATCCCAAAGGTGCTCATTGGATTTAGATCTGTTGACTGTGGAGGCCATTGGAGTAGAGTGAACTCATTGTCATGTTCTAGAAACCAGTTTGAGATGATTTGAGCTTTGTGACATGGAGGCACTATGCTGCTTTAAGAATCCATCTGTAGTCATAAAGGGATGGACATGGTCATCAACAATACTCTATGGCCGTGGCATTTAAAAGATGCTTTCATGTTGTTTACGCTAAATTCTGACCCTATCATCGGGATATAACAGCTGAAATCGAGAGCAGGCAACATTTTTCCAATCTTCTATTGTCCAATTTTGGTGAGCCTGTGTGAATTGTAGCCTCTGTTTTCTGTTCTTATCTGACAGGAATGGCATCCCGTGAGGTCTTCTGCTGCTGTAGCCCATCTGCTTTAATGTTCAACATGTTGTGGTTCAGAGCAGAGGCGGACTGACAACTCATGGGACCCCGGGCAATAGGGGATCATGGGGCCCCTGTGTCCTTGCCCAAACTCAAAAAAGCCTATGAAAAAGGTACCAGGGGCATCTCACGGGCCCCCTACTGACCCCGGGCCCTCGGGCAGTGCCCGAGCTTCCAAATGGTCAGTCTGCCCCTGGTTCAGAGATGATTTTCTGTATACCTTGGTTGTAAAGAGTGGTTATTTGAGTTGCTGTTGCCTTTCTATCATCTTGAACCAGTCTGCCCATTCTCCTCTGAAATCAACAAGGCATTTTCGTCCGCGCAACTGCCGCTCACTGTGTATTTTCTCTTTTTCTGACCATTCTCTGTAAACCCTAGAGATGGTTGTGCTTGAAAATCCCAGTAGGTCAGCGGTTTTTGAAATACTCAGACCAGCCCGCCTGGCACCAACAACCTTGCCAAGTTTGAAGTCACCTAAATCCTCTTTCTTCCCCATTCTGATGCTCGGTTTGAACTTCTGCAAGTTGTCTTCATGACGTCTAGAATCCTAAATGCATTGAGCTGTTGCCATGTGTTTGGCTGGTTAGCAATTTGCGTTACCAAGCAATTGAACGAGTGTACCTAATAAAGTGGCCATATGTTGAGTGTATAGCATACATATAAAGATGGATCACAATAAAGTACATCACATAAAGTGTATCTAAAGGGTTTATTTGTCACCAGCACAAAAATAGGGGGAAGTGTTCCATTAATGGTACTAGTTTCGCTGAAACTGGGAATGTCCCTCATTTTGAAGGAACCGGAAGTGAAGAGAAATCTCCCGATAAGATACATATGACAAAAAAATGAGAGGGGTTTGAACCATTAGATTCTGTATGCACAATATAAAAAAAAGTTCTGGCTTTGGATATACTTTAAAGGATAAGTTCACCTTTGGGAACATGTAACATGTTCCCATAGCTGCTGCCCCCCCCCCCCCTTCCTCTGACAGATAATACAGGGAGAAGTTTCCCCATACTCCCATACTATCTGTCAGATTTGAAAACAGTCCGACCGTGTGGGGCTCCTCCCACATGGCTGCGTCATTCATTCATGGACTTCTGTGAATGAATGAACTGCAAGTCTAGACAGCCTTAGTGGCTGTGGGATTTTAGTTTTCAGTGAACTGCCATGGTGCTGTGGAGCGCTGTGGTAGTTCGTTGAAGCTTCCTGTCAGAATATCTGCTTGATCATACATCCCGTACAGCAAGCAAATATTTGAACAGGTCTGAAGGAGACCTGCATGGCATCAGCAATCCACTGATCGCTGGTGCAATGCTTTACAGGCTCCTTTGGACAAAATTATTCAATGCACATTTTTTCACCTGCAAAAAAATGTGCATTTGTTATTTTTGTCCAAAAGGTGAACTTATTTTTTAGGAACTAACCCTTCTATGGTTATGCCAACTAATTTCCCACCGTGGCACATTTGCTATTCTTTCTTTTACCCTAAAAAGGATTTGCCCTTAACCACCTCCCACCCGCCATATAGTAATATGATGGACGCAAGGTGGTTCTCTCGTTCTGGGAGGACGTCATATGGCGTCCTCCCATTCTCACCGCGCATGCGCGGCTCAGGGAGTGCACGGCGATCGGCGGTGCACGGTGTCCCTCGGACACAGCGGATCACCAATCACGGAAATAGCAGAAGATGTCAGCTCGGTCATGTGATCAGCTGTGTCCAATCAAAGCTGATCACATGTAAACAGGGAAATGCCGGTTATCGGCATTTCTCTCCTCTCGAGCTGTCACGCTGACAGCTCGAGAGGAGAGCCGGTAATCGGTTTTCCGTGGAGGGGACATGTACACTGGTCATCAGGGCACTGATGATCAGTGTGCCCTGATGATCAGTGTAGCCCCAGCAGTGCCACCTGTCAGTGTCCATCAGTGCCTTGTGTCAGTGCTCATCAGTGCCTCGTGCCAGTGCCCATCAGTGCCACATATCAGTGCCTACCAGTGCCACATCAATGCCACATATCAGTGCCTACCAGTGCACATCAATGCAACATATCAGTGCCCATCTGAGCTGCCTTTCAGTGTCACCCATCAGTGCCAGTCAGTGCCACCTATTAGTGCTGCCAATCAGTGCCACCTATCAGCACCAGTCAGTGCCGCCTATCAGTGCCAGTCATTGACGCCTAACAGTGCCAGTCAGTGACGCCTAACTGCACTAGTCAGTGCCGCTATCAGTGCCAGTCAGTGCCACCTCACAGTGCCATATATCAGTGCCATGTATCAATGCTGCCTATAAGTGCCCATCAGTGACACCTGTCAATGCCCATCAGTGCCACCTACCAGTGCCTCCTCATCAGTACCCATCAGTGCCACCTATCAGTGTCCATCAGTACAGCCTATCAGTGCCCATCACTGCAGCCTCATTAGTGCACATCAGTGAAGGAAAAAAAAGCACTTATTTACAAAATTTTATAACAAAAACTAAGAAAAAAAACTTTTTTTTTTACAAAATTTTCAATTTTTTTTGGTTTGTTTAAGAAAAAATAAAAAAACCCAGATGTGATTAAATACCACCAAAATAAAGCTCTATCTGTCACAAAAAAAATGATAAAAATGTCATATTGGTACAGTGTTGCATGACCGCGCAATTGTCACTCAAAGTGTGACAGCAGTGAAAGCTGGAAATTGGCCTGGGCAGGAAGGGGGTATAAGTGCCCTGTAGGCTTGTGGTTAAACCATTTGGAAGAGTGTTGTCCACTGTGAAACACACCAGAATATGACACCCCTAGTTTAGGATAATTAAAAATGTATGTAAATACAAAGCAGTTAAAAACAATAAAAATCAACTGTTATGCTAACAAAAATGCAACATAATGCAAGCTGAAAGCAAACATATGGATAATAATGCAATTCAAAGGAAGGTGTAGCATTGGTAGCACCTGAGGAGGCACCAAAGTATAGATTTATACAGGGTACTATGCAATCAAAAACTATAATGTGGAAGACTCAAATGTTATTCCAGGAAGGAAGATGATAGAACAGTAACAAACCTGTACAGTATATAGAAGATGAGTTCTTGATGTATAATACATAGGATTGCAACATGTATACTGTAACACAAAGACAGATTAAACAAAAAACTGATATAGAAAAAAACTTTTAACAGTCTATACAGGTTTCTTTCAGAGTTTTTTTTCTCTACAATATAAACATGATTTACTGTTTTCTTTTCTACAATATAAACTGATTTTCTGTTCTATTCCTGTCTTTATGTTTATGTGAGTTTCTTGTTCAGTTTTTAGCTTGTATGTATTTGTTTGGCAGTCTATGCATTCTCCCAGAAACTCAACCTATGTAGACTTTCCTCTTTTGCACATTCTTCCCTTTTTAATGTACTGTAAAAACAAATGTACCCACACTTAGAAGAAATACTTGTATTAAAGCAGGGAGAACGTTTTAGATGTAAGTTGTCTGACTCTTCAGAACTTCGTTTCTCTGAATGAACAATACACTCATTGTTCTGGCAGCGTAATCTGATTTCTGCAAGCAACACTCCAAAATCCAAAATCAGATCAAACTGGCCAACATTAAAGGTCATTTTAATTGAAACATCTAGAATAAAACTAATAAGGCATATGCTATAAAAAGCTTTACCAAAAAAAAAATCCTAATCTGAAGACATTTTGTGTGCTTCCTTCATAATGAAAGGAACCAAACATTTTACATACCCATAAATAAAAGACCCACATCACAAGTTTAATAATCTTTAGAGTGATTTAATCATGTTTCTTGGTTTTTTTTTTTTACAGTAAAATACATTTGAATGCATGCTTTTGGTTAATAGGTTGAAAATACATAAATGCTAAATTCATGCAACATTGCAATACCTGAGGTTATTATATTGTTTTTAAAAAAGTCCTTTTTTTCTTATTTTTTTTACAAATCTGATGCTTTTTTACTTTCAAGATAATCATATTTTAAAAATATAGATTTCTCTTTTTTGTTCGGGATGTATAAATATCATATTGCATGTAGAATGGTAGAATAGTCATTTTAAAAAAATTAGGGAGACAAACATGACCAAGAGATGCACCTCATGGAACAACACCATCTCAAAAAAATGGGTACAGCTCAGCATGACATGAAATGAGTTGCAACTGTACCATTTAGTTGAATGGTTTGAGATTCCTGAATAACACAATGGTTTCTCTATTAGTGTGCGAAAATTCTCCGATTTTGGTAAAGAAATTATTTGTCTATTACAATCATTGAAGTGGGAGAAAAGCCAGCACATATTTAGTTGTTCATTAGACTGAAACCTCTAAGTGCTCTCTAATAATGGCTCTTTGCTGCACTGTTGACAACAATTCAGTAATTTATGTTTTATAATAAGTAATGGGTTTTATGAAAAGGGGTTATATAGTAGTAAGGCCACATATTTGCTTTAATGTTAAAATTTTGTTTGAAATTAATCTGAAAGCAGATCACTCTGGCAGTGAAGTAATTTCCGTGACTAATGTGGAAGTACAATGATTTCTAAATTCCCTGTGAGACCCAATGAAATATATCTATTTGGAATGTATTCAAGGGGCCTTTATACATGTCCAGCTATAGTACACCCATCTTAAACTCATCATAATTCTATTTAAAATGACCTTTTATCCTCTTTTGCACCTCACAAATAATAGGGCATTGGGGTCTGTTTTAAGGCAGTTGTGTATGTGTTTGCACTGAGTACCATTATTTCAGGGGTTTTAGATGTCTGATAACACAGTGGAGTATAACCAGTTTTCTCCCTGGGGTATATCTATGAAGATTACATTGGGCCAAAATATAGGAATATATTATACAGTAAATCTTAACAAAATCCCTAGACTTCAAACCTTTAAAAAAGACTTTTAAACTTTTCTTTTTTTAGTTAGCAAGTGCCTTTAGTCTTGCTATTCCATAAACAATACCTGTGCATAGTGGTTGATGTATGCTCTTTTTTGCTCCCTTACTCATGTCTCAGCTATCCAGCATTCCAAAGAAAGCAGTTGTAAAAAATTTTGGTAAGAATTGACTTTACCCAGTTGCTTCTAACCACTCTTCTTTTCTCCTTTCCTCGTTGGCTGGAAGTGTTTACTTTTTTTCCTTATTTATTGATATTAGCTAATAGAAAATAAAAATAACGGAACTAACAAGGAAAGGAGGGATACTCAGACTTTTAAATATAAAGTTTATTTTTACAGAGAGTTTCACAGCTGCTATCTAGGAACTGCTAGAGCGCTTGGAAGAGCGTATAAGCAGCCTCTATGCACTGTAGTTTGCATTGTTAAATAGAATAACACGATGAATGGCATGACTTGCTATAAGACATCATGTATCAACAATAATTTATGGGATTAGACTCCACTCCATGGCTTGTTTTCTTCTAATCCTGCGTCATAAAGAGATATTGAACTAAAATCAGAAGCTCAAACTGAGAAGCTTAAAATCGTATTTTAATGAGTGGTTTGTTAAAATACCTAAATAAGGGTGGGAATATGCCATAGGAAGCAATAAGATCAAAAGTTAATCTTTGTGAGCTGCCTTGGGTCATAGACTGCACAGAAATTTGATGGGTTACTGCACATTTCTATGTAACAAAACCTGCAGGCCCTACAGCTGAGTCCCAGAACGGATTACCATTTTGTGGAGTCATTACTGAATCCCAGTATACCCCAATCCAAGCCTTCCATGTTAAGTTTAAATCTTTGTATTTAAATCCCAAAAAATATCTGTTCTGAAAATGCATACTTATTTCCGTAAAGGTAAAGTGAAAGTAAATGCAACTCTGCTCAAAGTAATACATTTAAAGATTTTACTTCCAGTCCTGTGATATTGGATAGGAAATCCTGGTTGCACAGGTATATTTAGCTAAAATGTTATCCATGAGAATCAGTAGCTTTAAAAATAGTGGAGCAATCAAAGACAAGTTATTTTAAGACAGACAAGGCAATCACAGCTTACGGGAGAGGCGGAAGCTAATCAGAGAGAGGAGTGAGGGTGAAGGGAGAGAGAGGGGGACCCAATGATATCTGGAGGACGTAGAACTCCTGCTGTAGCCTAAATATGTCGCTAAAAAGATTAGATCCAGGCTGAAAGTGAAGGTGGAATAAGATAAAAAACATATGATAAGTACTGTCTGGATTTCTACAAATACAATGAATGATAGGTGGCACAGCATGTACTAGCAATATCCTGTCAACAACATAAATGTAGCAAATTTAAAACTTTAAAAAAGGGATCTGTTAAAAAAGTGAGAAAGGAAAAAAAAATTAAAGCCTGAAATCTTCTTAACGGACCTGTGGTACAGTGAAGTCTAAGTGGCAACCCTTTTGTCCCATCAAGTCTGTTGCTTATCTGGCCACCTAGGGCACAAGCAACATGTGGATATAAAATATATGAGGGTGATATTAACATACTCGCCATATTTTGCAATAGAAATATGAAAAACTGTATAACAAATGCAATTTTGTGCTGGTTAAGTTATCACTGTGTTCGTAAGGGGTATCATCACTCAATGTGGAGCACGAATACTCTTGAAGCCTGTTGGTCACACTGCTTAATATATGTATAATTATGTTATATGGAACATTTATCTCCATCATACCATTATTATTCTAAGCAAAATGTAAACATATTGTATAGATTTATGGAGGTGTACGTGGTCCTATGTAGGACCCGTAAAATATAAAGGCTTGCTTAACACTGCTGTGATGTGTGGGTGCATAAAAAGAACATGTAGACCTGTGCTTTATAATGGAAGCATATACAGTATAGCTGGCAATACTGAAAAATGTACCTCACATTGGTTTTTGTAATGCAGGAAATTGTGGGAAATTAGGTTTTGTTAATAGCATCTGTGAAGGGGAATGTCTGTGCTTTAAACCATATATTATGCTTTGCTAATTAATTGAATTTATAACTGAGTATGGACTTAGAATCATTTAGGGCTCATCTTATCCTTTGGGGGTAATATCTTGGGACATAACTCACATATCCTGAAAGTCTGGTTTTATGGTTATAAGATTTTCTGGCACTGTATAAATTATATACTTCAAACAGACTCAACAAAACATAGTTTTGACGCTCCACAGTCCCATATGGACCATCTTTATTAAAAACATGTTTTAAATTTTTATTTTTTTAAAATTGATGTATCTACCTTTGTTTGAGGTACGGTAAGTAAAAATTGTGTAATGTAACATACAGCCAAATAGATAAATGATTTGTTTTTTTAATCCTGGATCACAGGTCTACTCTGATGACCCATCCAGTACAACAGAGTGCATTATTATTAACCCTTTTAGCTGCATGGTTGAATATGCATTTGTTGGATAGCCTAAAAAAAAGTCTGTGCATTTGTGTTAAAGGAATTTTCTGCTTGTTTGGCAGTGTTCAAGCAGGTCATGACCCGACTGTATAGTATAGTCTTGGTCATTTAAAACTTCTTGACCAACTAAATCATACCAATTGCTAAGTTTGACCTAGAGCAGTGTCATTTCTATATCAGATAGGGTTAGATAGCATGTTTCTTTCTAGTTAAAACTCGACTAAAACATCAAGTATATTTTGCTAGTCACTTGCTAATAGGGCCTGCAAACTATAAACTAGGCTAGTGCCATTTTAAGATACTGCTAGTTAAAAAAAATTTGTTTAAAATAAATAGTGTAACAAGATCTATATATGCAGTTAAAGCAGACAAACCACTCTGACAGTTGCAGAATTCTGTAAAGTTCTAAATGCTAAAGCTATAACATAAAGAAAGATATACTGCTGAAAATATTCCATAAGGTAAACAGCAATGTACAAACTTTAGTAACCCAAAGCAACCTGTCAGAAATCATCTTTCCCTTTTTATAACTAGAATAGACTGAAATTTGATTGGTTGCAATGGAATTATTGCCCTTGATACATAATTACTGCTTTTGCAATGTCTTTCTGAAATTGCCCAGCTGTTTAACATGCTTCTATCTGAATGCTAACTCACACTGAATAAATATTTGGAGAAAATGTCTAATAGGCAAATATATTATCAATGACCCATGCTCTAACATAGTTCTATTGTTTCTCCTAGTGTCTACAGTGCAGAATACATATATATCTTCCCAAGGGAAGGGTTTCTACAAGTTCTTGACATTAATTAAAGCTGATATCTGCTTTATTGGCAATTTTCTTGGCTGGGGATTTCTAAACCATTATTAACCCCCATAAATCTTAAATAGGTTTGTGTCATTAGCATTTGTTTAAACTTTCTAACCAGTATAAATTATGCTCTGTTTCCAAAAGTAGATGTTATACTTTAAAACTCACAAAGAAAAAAAGGTGAATTATCTTAAAGAAAGCATATATGTATTATTACTGGAGCACCCTTGGGTCCACATGAAAGATCGTAGACCCTGTTACAGCTATTCCACAACTGAATAGAACTGCTCATCTCTGGTTTAGATTATGTCAGTTTGCATATGTTTTTCTATTCATTTTCACCAGCATTTTTAAGAGTGTACATAATTCATGATCTTAGTGGATAAAAAATCCCTATAGAATATATTTGGTCCTATTTGCCATTTCGGCATATTGTTTAGTCTTTCATTACTATCAGACACTAATGTCATGCATAATTAAAACTGACTAAAGTGCAAACATATAGTTACAAACGGGCTTGGTACAGCCTCAATCAGTGCAACTTTCTCTTTGTATTAATAAAGTTATAATTAATTTTGGCAGTTGGTTATACCTCTGGACAACACATCACATATCAGTTAGCAAAGGCATTCTGACAACAACCAACTTCAGACTCTTGATTACTGCTGTATGTTGAGGTGCACTGGATCTTATAGATGGTATTCCTTGGAAGGTACCTGCTTACAAATACAATAGCAGGGATTGCAAAGTGATGCTAATAAAACTATTCCACTCCACATCTACTAACATGTATAAAGGTCATACAGGTTATGAGCAATCATTGTATAGTTGGTATAGATCCTCATGCACTGACCAAGAGTTTTCCTTCTTTGTACTGCAGATGGTCTTAGCACTAAGCTCAAGTGCAGAGCAGCACCTTCAAAACATGGACATCTGATGTAGTATGGAAGAAATATATCCAGAATCTGGACTAATTTGCTGTATCAACATATCTAGGACTCCTCTATGCAGTCTTATCAGTCTCATAGATATCTAATAAAAGATAATTTCTCTGAAAATGTTCTTTATTGGAAAGGCTAATTTTTATTCAAATGTTCATAAAGTTAATGTAATCTGCAACTCCTTGCTGTTTGTGCTTTTGTGTCAGATGTAACCGAGCAATCTTTGGGATAAAAAGGCCAAGTTATCATCTGTTGGAAGTACTGAATATCATGCCCATCTGAATCTGCAGCAAACACTTGATTTGTAGAAAAGGTCATTGAGGTCCAACCATTACTTTATGATTCTATTTTAAAAGGGCTCTCAATAAAACATCCAGGTCTCCCACATTGGCAGCATGAAACAGATCTGGCTGGTCCATCATAGAAAGAGCTATTCTGAGTGCAGCCCAAATATTGCCTGAGATGACTGGGTGAAGAGACTGCAGCTGAGTCCTGCTTTTCCTCTGCAGGCTTAGGGCTGTAAGGAAGTTACTAACAGCCTCTCTGCAAAGACAACATATCAAAAGGAAAACATATCAAAGTCAAAGCCACATTCATATGCTAATGTGATACTTCTAAATTAATAAAAGAATGCAGATTTTAGAAAACACTGTTAACAAAATACAACATTCTACTTTCCCTTCATCATTTTTACTAAGAAATACAATGTTTTTGTTTGCTTTTTCACTAGATATGGCAGCCTTCAAGATCATAGCCAAACATTTGAGCTTCCCATTATGCTGAACAGTTAAGATATTAAACAAGATCATAATGGATAGAAACTAGTTATTAGGTTCAACTCCAGAAAGATTTTAAAATCGACCCTTGCAGTGAGAACCCCCCCACTGAAAGGTTAATCTAGGGGCAGCAGATTAAGGGGTATATAGTTACTTTACTTCTCATTCCAGCAGGCTCCCTACAACTCTACGACCAATCCCCAGCAACTGTTCTGAAAGCCGTCACTGGCTCTGCTGGCACGCAAACCTCCTAGGCATACAATACAGGATTAATGTTCCTGTATTGTATGTGATGACAATTAGAATTAACCATGATTGATGGCCCTAGAATTATTGCTCTCACTTTGATGTCTGTGGCTATACATCACATATGTGGTATAATCACTGTTTATGCACGTGCACACTAGGTGTGCACACTGTGTGTGTAGGGCAGCGGGATTACTTTTCAAATATTTTTTTATTTATCATTTAAATTTGTTAACTTTTTTTTTTCTTTTAACATTATTACTATCACAAGGGGGCTAACAAGCTCCCTATGTGACAGCATTTGCTGGTGTCTTGTTCTCTTTATGGAGACATTAGGGGTATATTAGACCCTAATGTCACTCCTCTGCTTTAGCTGATCAAGCACAGGACTGTGCATAAGTGACTGTTTAACCATTCAAGTTGACTACTTGAAGTTCAAGTTGTATATAGATGGCTATGGATGGCATGTGATTAAAGTGGTTGTAAAGTGCTTTAATCAAGCTCACTAACACATGTAATGCAATGTACTTATAACTACATCAGTGGATTTACCTCTATAAAAGTCTCCATTAGTGCCTTTCAAAGCTCCTAAAGCTGCTGGTCCATGTGCATAGCTTAGGACCGGAAGGTTGGTAGGCAAATATATTACATCATGTACTGTCTGCAGCTATACACACCCACCAACAACTGGTAGAGCTGTAGTTGTACCAGATATCTTTCTCTCCACAGTCTGTCAGTCACAAGAGAAGAGGTGGTCCATCTCCATGGTTTTGCCTGGTGGCAGGCAGACTAGCATAGCAGGGATGATTCCTGGAGAACAGGAGAGCTTGTAGGTGTGAAACTAAGCTCCAATGCCCAATGCAGATAAACATTTTAGAATGGGATGATCAGGGATCATCAGATTGTCTTCTAGGTATACAACCACTTTAAAATTAGCTCATGTACAATGACAAAGTTTTAGTTCCCTTTCACACGGGCCAGACTTTGTTTTGATCAACAGGGGATCTATCCGCTAATCCCCTGCTGATCAGAGCAGAGTGGGCGGATGTGTCTTCTCAGTTTCTGCAGAGCAAACACGAACAAAGCCCACTCTGCTCTACGGACGACCGGGAGGAAATTGACTTCGCTGCCCCTTTACACCCAACTACCCTCTGATTCAATCTGCCTAGACGGAAGGGACCAGAGGTAGGTGGACACAAGTCAGTTTACACCTAACGGTCCATAGGGGTGAATGGACTGTCCAGACAGTTCCGCCTGAAAAACTGACAGGCAGACCTGATTAGACCTTTCATGTGAAAGGTGCCTCACACTGAATTACTGCACTGATCTTGACAAATACACAAAACCTAAATTCAAGTAAGAATACACATGCTGCTTGTATGTAAACAATATCTGCTATCTCAACAGAGGTCCTAACCTTTCTCTATTCCCACCAAAGCTAAAATAAAAACTTTTAGCTATAGATTCACAATGCAGTTTAAAATGTTATAGTTGCTTGTTACTGACCTGTATGCTCCAAGGTTAATGCAGCTTATTCCTAAATTATATCTGGACCTAATAAATCCTGGCTGTATCTCCAGGGCTTTTGAATAGGCCTCTACTGCTTCTTCACTTTTATCTCCATTGGCTAACGTTGCACCCAGGCGGTTCCATAGTGAGTAGTCCTAGCAAAGAAGAGTCAGTGCAAACACCGTTTTTAAGTTCATAGTCAGCTAGCAAAGATGAATATAACATATATAAAAAATATCTCTTAGTAATGTGCACGTTAATCATTTTGTCTGCAATGATATCTAATTATTTGTATAGAATTTATCACTGGTCTAGCTATAATGCATTAAAGCCCAGTTGATTCCCCATACCTTTTTATCCTCTTATTGTCCAATACCTCTGAAAGCTATGGGTTTTGACTGATTGTTGCTTACTAATGTCTCTCACCCTCAAGTGTTCTGGTATAGCTGAGTAATACTCACATCCTTCTGCACCAGTGTCCTCATGCAAACTTGAACGGCAGAGGAAATAGGGGGCATGTCTGGCCAGTAATATTATAGAGTGCTGAGAACTAGGTCTGCTGGGTCAAACTCTGGTGGCTACTGCACTGTTAGTACATTGTTTATATGACTGCATATCTATTGCTATGAGTTCACTCGGACTCTAAACTAATTTACACACATCTGCCACACAGATGTGGTTCCCCACATTATGGTTCAGGTGTGCTGCTTATTGGATCAACCCCCTACTAATCAGACAGATGTAAAGATCATGTGAAAAAATGGATGTGGGAATGTGACAGCCGGCAGACAAAATGGCATACACTGTCATACTGAACTATTTACCTGGAGTTCTGTTTAAATAAGAACAAGTGGTTCTAAAGAATTATTTTGTCTGCAATGACATCTCTATTTATTTGTATAGAATTTATCACTGGTCTAGCTATAATGCATTAAAGCGAAGTTGATTCCCCATACCTTTTTATCCTCTTATTGTCCAATACCTCTGAAAGTTCGCCTCACCCCTTCAGTCTCCGCCCGAATCACTAGCCTACTGAACGACATATCGGATTGGATGTCACTCCACTTCCTCAAATTAAACCTTTCCAAAACTGAGCTCCTAGTTTTCCCCCCAGCCCGCGCCCCCGCCCCTGACTTCTCCATCACGACCAACAATGCCACCATCAGTCCCACCACGCAAGCCAGAGTACTAGGTGTCATCCTAGACTCCAATATGTCTTTCCAGCCCCAGGTACAATCACTGACAAACTCATGTAGAGTCCACCTCCGCAACATCTCCAAAATACGTCCGTTCTTAACCCCGGAAACTACTAAGCAACTCATTCACTCCCTTATCATATCACGACTCGACTACTGTAACTCCCTCACCGGCTTACCTCGCCACAAGCTATCCCCGCTTCAGTCTATCCTGAATACTGCGGCCAGACTCATCCATCTTACTAACTGCTCTGTATCCGCCACCCCTCTCTGCCAATCCCTCCACTGGCTTCCGATTGCCCAACGGATAAAATTCAAAATGCTAACATTGACGTACAAAGCTATTCATAACACTGCCCCAAACTACATCACTGACCTGATATCCAAATACCACCCAAAAACGTACTCTCCGCTCCTTGCAAGACCTCCTTCTCTCTAGTTCCCTGGTCTCCTCCTCCCATGCCCATCTCCAGGACTTATCCAGGGCCTCCCCGTCCTCTGGAACTCCCTACTTCAATCCATCAGACTATCACCTTTCCTCCTCTCCTTTAGGCGCACCCTGAAAACCCATCTCTTCAGGGAAGCCTACCCCGCCCTCAGCTAATTGCCGATCTCCTCCACTATTCCTACCACTCCATCCCCCACAGCTATTTCCTCCTGTACCACTATCCCCTCCCTCCTAGATTGTAAGCTCCAAGGCCAGGGCCCTCGAACCCGTCGTGTATTGAATTGTATTGTTATTGTACTGTCTCATGTACTTTCTCCCATTGTAATGTACAGCGCTGAGCAAACTGTTGGCGCTTTATAAATACTGTATAATAATAATGAACAGAAGGGATTTTAATATTATCAATTGGACACTAGGGTGTGTGTTCCATAAGGCAGTTGTTAAAGAGTACATAGGGTCACATGTCAAGGAAGCACAGGGGCAGGGAGCTGCTTTTGACCAAATACATTTCTAAAGCCTTTACTGTTATTAATGCTGTGTATCTGCTAAATATTTTTTTTTTTAACTCAAAATTATTTATTTATTTGAAAGTATACATTTTTTAAAATATACATATGGCATAGGTGGGGAAAGAAGAGACGAAGTTGGTATTTACAAATTCTTCAGTTTAATGAACTTACATCAGGCCGGACCATTAAGGCAGAGTTGAAGGCATCTACAGCTCTATCAAACTCCCCACTTAGGTTAAACAGAACTCCGAGTCCAGTCTGCAAGTCTGGGTCTATTAAGTCCCCATTCTGATGTGCTGCCTCTAGATACAAATCCTTCACTTCTTCCAAGGAAGCACTGAAAGTATAACAATTCAAATCAATAAAAACAACCCATACAACACAGGAGATTGTGGTCACACTTTTGATTTAATTTGCCTTATGCCTAAGCCATATTTTATAGGTCACACTTTTTATATATATATATATATATATATATATATATATATATATATATATATATATATATATATATATATACACACACACACACACACACAGTGGGGCAAAAAAGTATTTAGTCAGCCACCAATTGTGCAAGTTCTCCCACTTAAAAAGGTGAGAGAGGCTTGTAATTGGCATCATAGGTAGACCTCAACTATGAAAGACAAAATGAGAAAAAAAATCCAGACAGACAATCACATTGGCTGATTTGGAAAGAATATATTTGCAAATTATGGTGGAAAATAAGTATTTGGTCACCTACAAACAAGCAAGATTTCTGGCTCTTACAGATCAGTACCTTCTTCTTTAAGAGGCTCCTCTGTCCTGCACTCATTACCTGTATCAATGGCACCTGTTTGAACTTGTTATCAGTATAAAAGACACCTGTCCACAACCTCAAACAGTCACACTCCAAACTCCACTATGGTGAAGACCAAAGAGCTGTCGAAGGACACCAGAAACAAAATTGTAGACCTACCCCAGGCAGGGAAGACTGAATCTGCAATAGGCAAGCAGCTTGGTGTGAACAAATCAACTGTGGGAGCAATAATTAGAAAATGGAAGACATACAAGACCACTGATAATCTCCCTCGATCTGGGGCTCCACTTAAGATCTCACCCCGTGGGGTCAAAATGATCACAAGAACGGTGAGCAAAAATCCCAGGACCACACGGGGGGACCTAGTGAATGACCTGCAGAGAGCTGGGACCAACGTAACAAAGGCTACCATCAGTAACACACTACGCCACCAGGGACTCAGATCCTGCAGTGCCAGACGTGTCCCCCTGCTTAAGCCAGTACATGTCTGGGCCCGTCTGAAGTTTGCTAGAGAGCATTTGGATGATCCAGAAGAGGATTGGGAGAATGTCATATGGTCAGATGAAACCAAAATAGAACTGTTTGGTAGAAACACAACTCATCGTGTTTGGAGGAGAGAGAATGCTGAGTTGCATCCAAAGAACACCATACTTACTGTGAAGCATGGGGTGGCAACATCATGCTTTGGGGCTGTTTCTCTGCAAAGGGACCAGGACAACTCATCCATGTACAGGACAGAATGAATGAGGCCATGTATCGTGAGATTTTGAGTGCAAACCTCCTTCCATCAGCAAAGGCATTGAAGATGAAACGTGGCTGGGTCTTCCAACATGACAATGATCCCAAACATACTGCCCGGGCAACAAAGGAGTGGCTTCGTAAGAAGCATTTCAAGGTCCTGGAGTGGCCTAGCCAGTCTCCAGATCTCAACCCCATAGAAAACCTTTGGAGGGAGTTGAAAGTCCGTGTTGCCCAGCGACAGCCCCAAAACATCACTGCTCTAGAGGAGATCTGCATGGAGGAATGGGCCAACATACCAGCAACAGTGTGTGCCAACCTTGTGAAGACTTACAGGAAACGTTTGACCTCTGTCATTGCCAACAAAGGATATATAACAAAGTATTGAGATGAACTTTTGATATTGACCAAATACTTATTTTCCACCATAATTTGCAAATATATTCTTTCCAAATCAGCCAATGTGATTGTCTGGATTTTTTTTCTCATTTTGTCTCTCATAGTTGAGGTCTACCTATGATGCCAATTACAGGCCTCTCTCATCTTTTTAAGTGGGAGAACTTGCACAATTGGTGGCTGACTAAATACTTTTTTGCCCCACTGTGTATATATATATATATATATATATATATATATATATATATGCTTGAGTAGTAACAAGTTGCAGTATGCTGAAAATATTTCTTAATAGCTGTTGCTGTTGTCTGTAAAATTATGTGTATACCCGTGACAGCTTCTAAATGAATTCTACCCCATACCCCATCTTATGTGTGCCTTTTCCAGACAATTTCTTTATTCTTTAAATATATAGAACTGTATGTCTGTGTGTTTATGATCTTTCTGATCTTGTGTTGTCAAACAAATTTGGATGATCTAAATATTTCCTATTGCTTTTATAAAAAGCTAGCTTCATTTTAGCTTTCTTTATAAAAAGCTAGCTTCATTTTAGCTTTCACTTATCTCTAAACATCATCATTTTCTTTGAGACTGCACAGTGAGAAATACACACAAGAAATGACCAATTTGTGTGTATCTTGGATCCCTCTATACTAGTTATACCACAGTGAAATAAGCATTTGCTTCCTATCATTATCCTACAAAAAACTACTATAACTATTGCAAAACAACAATATAATGTATCTGCCTTTTGACCCAAGAAGAACATGATTCCACCCAGCAGATAAAAAGTTTCCAGGACTTAATGGGCAACCTTTACCCTGTTTTTATCTTTAGAAACAAAATTACTAAGCCTTGTAGACATTTAGGGGTTATTACCCTGTGCCCTTCTTGATTACATTGAAATAACCACAGGGAATAGGTCACTGCTAATAAGCCTTAAAAAGTAAACTTAACAGGCATCAAAAAATTGATTTGCAAGTTGCAACAGTAGTTTAAGAGAATCAATGATTACAATGCAAGCATGCAACAAAAAACATATTTAAACCCATATATTGCAACTTCCAAGTCCTTAGATGTAGCAGCTGACTAGTTTTCTTTTTCAGCAGCTTGTTTTCTTTTTTTCCAAGCGTGCGACCCTGCCAGTAACACACTTACTGTCTAAGGGTGACAATGCTCACTCACTGTATATATGGAGGAGTAGCAGTAATACCATAGAACAGAAGTGTGTTAGGACTTTTGAAAAGTAGTCAAAATCATCTAAGAAGCTCCATGTCTAATTTAGAAGTCCAGAGAATTGTCTCTGAAATATTTTGAGACAAGCAATTATTGTCCTTGCTCAGACTTTTTTCAATACAGTTGTATGATAAATATGATTCTGACAGTAGTTTGGTATACGTACAAAGTCTTACAAATTAATGCATATACATAATGCTAGGAATAATTGGCTTCAGACATATTCTTGTGTGTTAAGCATGTCTATAAACAAAATGTATATGGATGGGGATGGCCCAGGTCTGGTTCAAGTTAATTTAAAAAGCTAATTCTAATTTGTGAATTTGGACTTTTTTCCCTACAATTGTACAGTTGTAATTTTCCAAGGAAATGGCATAAAAACATAATTTTTTCTCGTCATACACCATTACCGGTAGTACAGCCAAAAGCTCTAGAGGGGCACAGTGACATACATGTACCGTATTTGCCGGCGTATAAGACGACTGGGCGTATAAGACGACCCCCCTACTTTTCCTGCTAAAATGTAGTGTTTGGGCTATACTCGCCGTATAAGACTACCCCTCTTCCAATGCACACCAGTGGGAGGAATAGTGCCCCATCATTGGTGTCAGTGGGAGGAATAGTGCCCCATCATTGGTATCAGTGGGAGGAATAGTGCCCCATCATTGGTATCAGTGGGGGAATAGTGCCCCATCATTGGTATCAGTGGGGGGAATAGGTGCCCCATCATTGGTATCAGTGGGGGGAATAGGTGCCCCATCATTGGTATCAGTGGCAGGAATAGTGCCCCATCATTGGTGTCAGTGGGAGGAATGGTGTCCCATCATTGGTGTCAGTGAGGGGTGGAATAGTGCCCCATCATTGGTGTCAGTGGGGGGGGGAATAGTGCCCCATCGTTGGTGTCAGTGGGGGGGGGAATAGTGCCCCATCGTTGGTGTCAGTGGGGGGGAGGAATAGTGCCCCATCGTTGGTGTCAGTGGGAGGAATAGTGCCCCATCGTTGGTATCAGTGGGAGGAATAGTGCCCCATCGTTGGTATCAGTGACACCAATGATGGGGCACTATTCCTCCCACTGAGACTTGCTGACCCTGTTCTCGTATGGTGCTGCTGCAGCCAGCATATGTGGTTGCAGCAGCACCTCTACACAGAGCACTTACCTGCTGCTCCGGCACTCAATTTTCGCGGGGCCGCTCGGCTCCGCCCCCTCGCCGGTGATTGGCCGCCTGTGTGCCTTTCCTGAGCTACAGTTCTGGCGGCCAATCACCGGTGAGGAGGCGGAGCCGCGCAGCCGCACGAACATCCAGTGGCCGAACTGAAGGAGACGCCGCGCTTCCTGGACCGGATCGTCGTGGGACTGGATCCAGGTAAGAGACGTCAGCCCCTGCAAACCCCTGTACTTAATGCCGCAGCCCCCCTAACATGTGTACCGGCGTATAAGACGACCCCCGACTTTTGAGAAGATTTTCAAGGGTCAAAAAGTCGTCTTATACGCCGGCAAATACGGTACTAATGAAGGACTCTGGATGCTAGGACCTAGGGCCCTTTGAAATAAATATTTTCTGGTCAGATGAAGAAAATTAGACCAATTAGTTTTTTTTTACCTGGATAAATAATAGTACAGTAAATATTGTTTATTGTTGTAGCAAATAAAGGGTTAATATTAATATGTGGTTCATTTTGTCTCCATAGTAATAAAGTGTCTAACTTTACCTTTCACAAAATGGTTTTGACATTCTCCTGGTCAATGCTGGAGATTCAGATTTCTTCACTAGAAACTTATATCTGGGATTCTGCTTAATCCATGTTTTCAGAGCCTCGTATGCATCTTGCTGATGCCCTATATTGGTATAGCTGACAGCCAAGGCCATGAGTGCTTTTAAATTATTTGGTTGTAGCTGTAAGCACCTGGAAAGCAATATTGAAACCACAAATTAGTGTATAAGGGGCTAGGGAATTAGGTATGTATATCTTTAGGCTCCATGTACACTGCAGCTGATAGACTCACGATTAGGAGCTTTTTTGCGTTTTTTTCAGCAGCCCCTGAACCCTCCCTAATGTTTTCCTATGTGTCCATGTACACTCTGTCATGTACAGGCAGTTGGGTTTACATTGTTTTTTTTTTTTTACGTGCCAAACTTGCGTTCAGGAGTAGATTTTATCAGCGTTTGAAACGTCAAATGCTTGTAAACGTGTGTAAACATTGCTAACCATGTTTATAAGCGTTTGCAATTGGAAATTTTTTTTAACTCTTCAATTTCCAGATGCTGTCCAGAACCTTTTTTATCATGAAAAATGCATGCAAAGCATTTTCCCGGTACTCAAAAGTACCTGGTACACCATACTTTGAGGTTTCGCATGAAATAAAATATGTTAGATACTGCTGCAATAATTTCTGCACAGAAATGAGCTAAAACACATCCAAACACCACAAAAAAAAAAAAAACTAATCTCAACAAATACTGCTCTCTCTGCTTCTCTCAAAATGTCTGAAATAGTTAATTTTTTACTGTTTTTCAGTGCATTCTGGGCATTTTGGAAGGTCTCCTGAGGTTATCTTACAAAAAACGCTTCTAAATGCAAATGCTCATAAACGAGCATAAACGCGGTATGCAAACGCAGCTAAACAGATGTTTTTTAACCTACGTCTTCCGGCAGTCAGTTTCCATCATTCATAAATGTCCCGTGTACATGGAACCTTAAACTTTTAGTTCACAGTGAAATATATTTTCTTGCTGTGGTGCATACAGTGTTCGAGTTTCTAGCTCTCTTTCCTAGTAGAAGAACATAAAATATGTGCTTGCAAGTAAGAAACAGCAGAAAAAAGTGTAAGTTCCCCAATTGATTATCAAGTAAAGACCATGTTCTTTTTAAAAATGTAACACAACCATAAAAAGGATTATATAGAATTTGCAGTACACGTGCTTCATTGTTCTCCTTTTTCCAGAATCAAACACAAGTCATGAAAAGTTTTTTGTCTTAAATACTTTGTGTACGTCTACTGCCAATCTTTTAACACTACGGTGACAAACACGATTAGGTGACAAAAGCTGCCATCTTGCTGGGTTTGCTTTTGCAAGCAAATTGTGTGAGGCTATGGCAGAACATTATCTTTTTTTTAATGGAAAAAAAAATATTTGGTTGTAGTCTACAAAAATATTATACTCTGTTCAGTTATTATGTTCATGGTTATGTCAATTTATCGCATCTTAAAATGTAAACTCGTTTGCTTGGTGCTGGTGATGGTCACAGTAATGCGGGGGTGAAAAGAATCTGTTTTGTGAGTTGTAATGATGGTAAAAAGGAGATAGGAAAGGCAAAGTTAATCCATAATGGCAAAAAGACCACATTGTCCCCACCGCATGTTGTGTGGAGCTCTAGTAACATGACTACTGTTTCTGCCTGTTGTTTGCAGGGTGTGTTGGCTGATCAGTTAAAAGTCACTGGCAGGTTGTGTGGCAACGTTAACTATGCAATATAGCAAAAGCAAAGACCTACATTTCAAGATGTTATGGTTGTAGAGATACATGGAGCTCGGTAGTGCCTAGCGTAATGGGTTAATGTGGCAAAGAAAAAGGCTATTTGCTCTCAGGATGTTCTGCCTCTGTTACATTAGGTAACTGTAAGGTCCGTTTAATGGCACCTCTAGGCCAATGTTGCAGGATTAGGTATTTCTTTTTTGAACTGTGAGTCAGTATATTGACCACCAAAATCATTATTAGCCTCCTAGCTTGCTCCAAGATGTTAATGGTGTTGGGCCTGTTACAATGATTGTTTCGGTAATTGATCACTAAAATCATTATTATATTACAAGTCTCTTCTGTGTTTTTACTTATTGCTAGCAAATCTGCCAGTTTCATTTTCAAAAGTATATGGTTGATTAATAGCTACTGGCTCCAAAAGTCTTGAAACATTTCCTATTTGTTTCTATTTTATTTTCTTTATTATTGGCCTCCTTGCTTGGTCCAAGATGTTAATGGCATTTGGGCCTGTTACATTGATTGTTAATGAGCTAATTAAATAATTAACCAAAGAGTGGCAACTAAAACATACATGCCTCTAAGAACCACCATGCTGTTTTTATAAAAAATTCTATGGGGTTCATTATTTATGAGTCTTTCTTGAAAAATGACAAAGTGCATGTGGGTTGGTATTAAAGCTGAACTCCAAGCAAACAGCTAAAAATATGTTGGGCTATGCATATATTTAATCTGGTACTCATGAATGATAGGTTTATTGGTAAAAATCTAGTTATACAGGACCTCCATAAGGTTAAAAAATATTATATATATCACATGATATCATTTAAAACAATCTATTATATTGATATTTAAAGTGGAACTTTACTTAGAAATGTAAGTCCTGCTAGATCACTTCATGCTGGCCCCTTTTGCATGTATAGCTATGTAAAACATTAAACATAAGTGCTTATACTGGTTAAAAATTCAGTAATACACAGTCTAACCCTGCTCTGCACATGCTCAGTTGGTCTCCATTTTTCAACACTGTATGTAGAAATGTAGAAGCTGATTTGCTGATAGCCTAAAGATTTACTGCTGTTCATGGGCTTTAGGTTTCTGCAAAATGGCAGCCTTCAGCAAGAAGAAACAGGAGCAATGCTGGAGGCAATTTACAACACACACTAATTTTGGTAGCATAATTATTAAAGTGTTACTAAACGCAGGACCCTGCATTCATTATATCTGGTCTCCCACAGTACACACAACATGGAAGTGCAATTATTTTAGTAAATATAAACTGCTAAATATGTTTTCTCATTAGTAGTTAGTGCAGTTTTGTGACTTCTATCAGTGTTCAGCAGAGCACTGGTTAAAGCTTGTAGCAGGACTTTTCTTCCTGCTCTAGGAGGATGCAAAACCCCTGGACAGTGCTGCTTGGCCCTGTGCTGATCACATGCCTTCTCCCAAGAAAAAAGAAAACATCTCTAGCAATACACACCAATCTGAGAATGTGCAGAATGGCTACGGTTCAGTCTGTCTTATCAGGAGATAAGCTGTGGACATTGCTGTGAACAAGAGGAGGAGCAGAGAAGTCAGGATCAAACACAATGCAGATGATTAACCCCTTAGATTTCACAGTGAGTATAACAAGCATACTTTACTTCATATACAGACTGATTTTATTGTTGTGGGTTTAGTAACACTTTAATGTGGAATGTATGTTCCTTGCTAAAGAACATTATTTTTTTTTATCAAGTTGTGATGGGTAAAATTCCATTTGAACCGGTTTTGGGCACCAATTCACAAAAAGAACATTGGGGAACTGGAGAAAGTACAGAGAATAGCAACCAAACTGATAAGAGGGATGGAGAAGATCAGTTATGAGGAAAGATTAGAGGAACTGAATTTATTCTCTCTTGAGAAGAGGAGATTAAGGGGGGATATGATCAACATGTATAAATACATCAATGGTTCATATAGTGAACTCGGTGTAGAGCTATTCACCCTGAGGTCATCACAGAGGACAAGGGGGCACTCTTTACGTCTGGAGGAAAATAAATTTAATCTCCAAACACGGAAAGGTTTCTTCACAGTGAGAGCTGTGAAAATGTGGAATAGACTCCCTCAAGAGTTGGTTCTGGCCAGCTCAATCTATTGCTTTAAAAAAGGCCTGGATTCTTTCCTAGATATACAGAATATAACTGGATACTAACATTTATAGGTAAAGTTGATCCAGGGAATATCCGATTGCCTCTCGGGGGATCAGGAAGGAGTTTTTTTTTCCCTGCAGGAGAAAATTGGATCATGCTTTGCTGTTTTTTTTTCTTCCTCTGGATCAACTGTGGGTATAGGATTATAACTTTTTTTATGGTTGAACTGGATGGACTTTTTTCAGCCAAACTAACTATGTAACTTTAAATGACTAACTGTGGCTTTTCCTGACCACAAGCTAGACCTAAACTGTGTCCTCCCATGCTGCTACCAAATATATTAACACTATAGCTACCATCCAAAGGAATGCAAAGCTGCACAAGATATCCTTCTTGCATTGCTATCTCAGAATTGCTGTCACTAAGGGCTTGTTCACACTTGGCTGTTTTACCAACGCTTGCCAAATGCCCCTATAGCATTTGGCAAGCGTTGGTCCAGCGTTTGTGGAGCGTTTTTTAACGCTCGGCAAATGCTCCGCAAACGCTGCATGCGCAGTTTAGCGGTGGTTGCTAGGTGTTTGCCGAGCATTAATAACGCCCCACAAACGCCTATAATGCAGTTTGAGTGGTGTTACCGCTCCGCAAATGCACCGCAACCGCCTTGCAACCACACCCGCATACGCCGGCGTTTGCAGAGCGGCACCATAGACGAGAATAGGAGGCTTCAATGCCTCCTGACTCGACCAGAGGCGTCAGTTTTGCCGTGACACGACGCAAACGCTCCCGTTAGAACAGCACCATGTGCTGTAATGTGCAGAGTTGTCAGAGGCGTTTGGGAAGCGGTAAAAACTGCTGCCTGCACACAATGCTAGTGTGAACGTAGCCTTAGAGACACGTATGCAGCTTTCTAACCCAGCACTGACAAACCGGGTATATCCATGCACCATTGGTATGGTGAGGTTGCAAGCATGGATCAAACTAAATAATCTTCATTCTGAGGCATATAAAACCACATGGGTTGAGAGATTTGTCAGTGACAATACCAATAACATTTCAGAAAAAGAACTGATATCACATTGGCAGCACTGTAACATCAATTGTACTATTACAGTATGAAGTCAGTAGTAGTACCATTATAATTAGAGATGAGCGAATTATTCAAAAATTCGATTCTGATTCGCCAAATTTGCGGAATAAATTCGATTCGATGCGAATTTATTCGCTGCGAATTTAACTTATTAAAAGGGTTTCTAGGCTTCAGAGAGCCTTTATATTAGTGCAGAACACTGTACCTTTA